AGCACAAAAGATCAGCTATGTATCATGAATTCAACACGATAAATCAATTCTCTTAATTTAATCATTGTTCATGAATTAAACAAAAGGGAAAAGCTTACAATTATTCCTATCCGAGTTCGAATGTTGAAGACGAGATACAAGCTTAATCCCAAAAAAAAAGAAATAAAAAGGAAAAATATAAATGAAAAAGGAGAAGAAGATCGATGGAGAAGAAGGAGAGAGAAGGAGGAGAAGAGAGGAGTTCGTGAATTCCTCTCCCGACCTAGGGCTTTCGCCCCCCAGTCGAGCGTGTCGAAAATAATGCCCCCGAACGTCCCAAAATCTGCTACTTTAATAACCTGATTTCGCGCGCCTCGCGGGCCGCGGAGATTCCCGCTGGCCGCGGTGAAGAAAGCCTCCGCGGCCGCGACTTGCTCCGAGGCCGCGACATTTCCTGTGCTGAAGTTTTGGGACCTGGCAGATTTTGTTCGCCGCGGCCCGCGGTGAAGAAATGGGTCGCGGCCCGCGGCGAACAAAACTGGGCTGCACTGCACCATCTTACGGTTTTTGCTTGTTCGGGCTCGTTTGGATTCGGAATTGAGTTCCGTTTTTTCCTACGCATCGCTAACGAGCCCTTCTTTCTAATGGTGTCAGCTTCTCTAAAAGATTCTTGAAAACCTGTTCTCCCAGGATCTCTAAACACACACCAAAAACGAAAACACAAACGGAAGACTACCAGAAAAAACATAAGAATTACCGGGGCACTCAAGACAACACAAAACACACGATAAATGACAAAATGAACCTAAAACCAATCAAATGACTCGAAATAGGGGAAAAAGAATGAGAAAATGACAACAAAAAACGCAACAACAATGGGACAAACATTGATGAATAATGAAATAAAGTTGATGTGATGTGTAAGAATGATTGGTTTGTATTATTTAATTATATGAATAATATGAAAGATAGTGAGGTTGAGTTAAAGTTGAGTTAGATTTTGAGTTGAAAATATTTGAGGTGAAATATTTTATAAACAATCACCCCCTAATGCTCTCTTATCTATCAATTTGGGAAGAATGAGAAGAGACCGGTTAGGGGGTGATTGTTTATGGTTTGAATAGTAAAAAATCTAGAATTTTTTAATTATGGTTAAGTTTAAGAAAAAGTGGTATGGTTAGTTGTTAGTGGATATATTAAAATAGTATTTAAAATAAAATTGTTAAAATTGATTTGATGTAAAAGTAAGAGAAAATGATTGGAAGTGATAGTCAGTTAAAATTAGTTAAAATTATGTGAGTAGATGAATAGTGAATTAAAGTTGATGTGATATGTAATAATGATTTGTTGATGTTATTTAATTATATAATAATATTGGAGATAGTGGAGTTGAGTTAAAGTTGAGTTAAATTTGAGTTTGAGTAAAAAAAGTTACTGTACAACTAATAAACAATCACCCCCTTAAAATGTTGAGCCCAGTAAAAATCCCACAAATTGGTGATAGTTTTGTGTGAAAAGACAAGGTTATTATGAGGAAATACACACTACAAGAAAATGATGAAATTCAAACGGAAATATATTCCAATAGAATTATTTCAACGACAATTCCAATAGATATTTCAATGTTACTAATTCCGTGGGTATTTTTCGATGCATTCCAACGGAAATTTCAACAAAAATATTTCGTTGGAATGAGTTTTCTATTGGAATTTTCGTTGGATTTTGACGATTCCAACGGTGGATTTTCTAACGGGGGTGGAAATAAAAATTCCAACGGAAATTCTTACGGCAAAAACTAAAAAGTCGTTGGAAATATAACCATTAAAATAATCAAATTCCATTTAAAATTCCAATGAAAAACACATTCCAACGGAATATTTTCGTTGGAATTTTTGTTGGAACCATTCCAACAGAAGCTATACCATTAGAATATCCGTTGAGATTTTCTTTGGAATATATTACCATATAATTTTCTGTCGGAATATAACAATTTTTTTGTAATGACATTGCCAAAAATTTTGTAGTAGACCCCACAAAACTTTTATAGTCATAATTTGAAAACGCATTTGATTAATTTCCACCAAAGGGAGATAAAATGTGGATCATTTCCTCAATAAAATTCCATTTACAAGCAAAATGAAACTAATCCAATCAAAGGATCCCAAAAAGTGCAAATCAGATTATTACAACCTTCGACCACCATTTATCTCACACACATCTCGCCTTATATTTCTCTGTTTTTTGACTTTTTTCCGCAATTATAAAGTCCCCCAATTTTCTTCAATAATTTCAGCTTTTCTATTTAGGCAAAACAAAAATAAATAAAAGGCGAATCACTGATTATTTTCTCCCACCATTTTATTCAGTGATCCGCTATCTTCAATAATAAATAAAAAATTACAGCCATGTTTCCCATCTTCTTGCTTCTATTATCCTGCTTGCCAAACACGGCATTATCCACCCACCTTCATTCATTCAGAAGCCTTCAGCTCCCTTCAGTTGGCTGTGAGGCCTACACCTTTGATAAGAACAATGGCGGGCCTTACACGGGCCTCAACGATGGCAGGATTGTAAAATACCAAGGGCCCAAAACTGGTTTTGTGGAATATGCCACAACTGTTTCTAATAGGTAAATCCTCTGTTTTCCTCTGTTTTTTCTTTCTTTCTTTTTTTTAGGTTCTTTTGAAAGATTAATCTTTTTAATGCCATTTATTTATTTTCAGATCAAAGAAATTGTGCGATGGGTCGAACGGCAACTTGACGATCGGGCCGTTGTGCGGAAGGCCGCTCGACATGGAATTCAACCCCAAAACCGGGGAGCTTTACGTCGTCGACCTTTTCCGGGGACTAATGGTGGTGCCGCCACGTGGCGGTGGCGGTGGCGGCGTGGCCCGCCAGCTGGCGTCCGGCGACGGCATGCCGGCCAATGCCCCAGACGCTGTCGCCATCGACCCGATTACCGGCGAGGTCTATTTCTCGGATATTGGCTCCATCATCTTCACGACCACGTATGATAATTTTATCGCATATTAATTATTATTTGTTTTTTTTATGAACGGTGATAGTAATAATAATAATCGTTTAAATTTATTATTTACGACAGCAACATGACCGAAACCCTCATGAGTGGGGACACGAGCGGGAGACTACTCAAATACGACCCGAAAACGAAGAAACGTACGGTTGTCCTCACCGGGCTCGCGGGCCCTGCAGGGCTAGCCGTGAGTCGAGACGGCTCGTTCGTGTTGATAGCCGAGTACCTGGCATGCCGAATCATGAGGCTATGGCTCAAGGGCCCGAGAGCCGGTAAAACGGAAGTTTTCGCGGAGCTCCCAGGAAATCCCGACAACATCAAGAGAACACGGTCGGGCGATTTCTGGGTGGCCGTTAATATACAAAAATTGTACCCTAGGCTCACGAGCTTTCCATTAGGTCAAAAGATTAACCCGAAAGGTCAAATTACGCAGACAGTGAATTTTTATGATGAGTACAACGCGACGTATATTACGGAAGTGCACGAGCAGAGTGGGTCGTTGTACGTTGCGTCGGTTTATACAGGATTTGTCGGGGTTTATAAGGGAGTTAAGATGTGGAGCATGTATTGATATTATTTCTTTCTAGTTTTTTTAAGTTTAGGAGTACCTAATTAAAAGTCGGAGATTCTTGCGACTAATGGTTAGACAGTCTCATAACAACTATAATGTAATAAATGAATTATCTTGAATCCGAAGCATGTGTATTTGTAAATGATGTCTATGCTTATGTTCAAAATTAAACTTGAAATAGAAGAAAATTGGTCCTAATAAAGAACTCGATTGCGACTAATAGTTAGGCAGCCTAATAATAACTATAATGTAATAAGTTAATTTATCTTGAATCTGAAGCATGCGTACTTGTAATAACTATATATAATTTGATTTTAGAGATCAATTTTCAAACGAACAATTTGATTTTAAAGATTGATCTTTTTTTTCCTTATTACTCTGTTGGGTTTCGGGTTCCGATACTTGGGTATTATCTGTAGGGAACTTTAACGGGATAATAAAAATAAGATGGCTATAATATATAATACCGAGGCCTGTGATAACACAGTGTCCTTAAAACAGATTCGCCCAGTATGAGCGTCTGTTTCCCAGGATACAACGGAAAAACCGAAACTAATCCGGCGAACTGGAATTATGCCTGGACCAAAACACTTAAAAGACATATGGGGGAATAAGACTTTGGAAATATTTTATTTAGTTTCGTGTGTTTCATCAAAAGAAGACAATTCTTCTTATATAGGCTTAAGCAACCCACTAACATTAATACTTCATTTAATACCATTAATTCAAAATTTAATGAAGTTATGTTTGTAACATGAAAACAAGTTGTACCTTGTAAGTGAAAGACACGGTTTCAACAAATAAACTTTATGTTACAAATTCATTCAATAAATTTTCCAACAATCCCCCACATTAATGAATTTGAAAATAGCACAAAAACATGTTATGGTCCGACAGTTGAAACCTGTATAGGATAGGTAGGTGTTACCCTTTGAACCTTCCATTGTGAAAGCACATCAACTTTACTAGCTGACCAGTAGACGCGATGTCTTTGAACTGTTCTGCTTTTTGTGTAAAAGATAAATATACTTCACACAGGATTCTCCCTAACATATTCCAGTTCTCATTATTATGTCCATTAATGGCCCTAGACATAGCCTGGTTCTGTGAGAGGGTCTAAGAATTGAGCCTCACACAATTCTCTTCAAAGCGGCTCCACTTCTCTCTCACATAGGTGATTCATAATTACAAGTAGCCCGTACTACCTCTCATACAAGAATCATTAAAAGCCAAATGCTTATCCTACTCACCACGGCTATCATTGTTTAAGGAATGGACATTGGATAAAATCCTACAGTGATCACAAAAGTCTTTTTACAATTAGGTTGTCCCTTTGAACCAAGATCTTGGGATCTCCAGTCAACAAGGTAGGGTTTCCATTGTATCAACTCATTTCTAGAGGCTTAAGTCCCATTCCTCTCAAAGATTTAGCAATTAACTCTCTATTTAACCCTTTGGTCAGCGGATCCGCAAGGTTATCTTTTGACTTCACATAGTCAATAGATATAGTACCAGTTGAGAGTAGTTGTCTAATGGTATTATGTCTACGACGAATATGTCTAGACTTACCATTATACATATTAGTTTGTGCCCTCCTGTAGCCGATTGACTATCACAATGTATACAAATGGCTGGCACTGGCTTAGACCATTTTGGAATATCTTCTAAGAAATGGCGAAGCCACTCTGCCTCTTCTCCACTTTTGTCCAATGCTATAAACTCGGACTCCATTGTGGATCTGACAATAACAGTCTGCTTAGAAGATTTCCATGATATGGCTGCACCTCCCAAAGTGAATAAATATCCACTAGTGGATTTAGAATCTTTCATATCTGATATCCAGTTGGCATCACTATAGCCTTCAATTACAGCTTGATATTTACAGTAGTGCAGATCATATTTACAAGTATATCTCAAGTATCTGAGTAATCTCACAATTTCTTTCCAGTGTTCATTTCCTGGATTACTTGTATATCTACTCAAATTACTCACAGCAAAGACGATGTCTGGTCTAGTACAATTCATTAGATACATCGGACTCCCTATCACCCTTGAATATTCGACTTGAGAAACACTTTCTCCTTTATTTTTCGACATATGTTGACTTGTATCTATCGGGGTCCTAGCCTGAGTCAAATCATCCTTATTAAATTTTTCAAGGATTTTCTCCACATAATGTGTTTGACTCAAAACAATTCCTTGTGATGTTATATGAATTTTAATTCCAATAATCACATCAGCTAGACCCATATCTTTCATGTCAAATCTTGAATTTAACATATCTTTTGTGGATTTAATAATTTTATCATTGCTTCCAACGATAAGCATGTCATCTACGTAAAGACATAAGATTACATAATCTTTTTTTGTGTCTTTAACATAAACACATTTATCACATTCATTAATTTTAAATCCACATTCAATCATGACATTATCAAACTTCTCATGCCATTGTTTTGGAGCTTGTTTTAAGCCATATAAAGACTTAACCAATTTGCAAACTTTATTCTCTTGCTCTGGAGCAGAGAATCCTTCAGGTTGCTCCATACAAATCTCTTCTTCTAAATCTCCATTTAGAAAAGCTGTTTTTACATCCATTTGATGTATTTCAAGATTTCTTAAAGCTGCAATTGCAATAATCACTCTGATGGATGTTATCATCGTCACTGGAGAATATGTATCAAAGAAATCAAGGCCTTCTTTTTGCTTATAACCTTTAATCACAAGTCTAGTCTTATACTTATCAACTGTTCCATCAGGTTTCATTTTCCTTTTGAAAATCCATCTATAGCCCAATGGTTTACTTCCAGGAGGAAGATCCACTAGCTCTCATGTGTGATTTTGCAAAATGGAATCAATTTCACTTTGAACTGCCTCTTTCCAAAGAGGTCCTTCAGAAGAATTTACAGCTTCTAAAAACGTTTGTGGTTCGCTTTCAACCATATAGGTTAGAAAATCTGGACCAAAAGATTTTTCTATCCTACCTCTTTTACTTATCCGAGGTTCTACTTCAACATATCCATCTTAATCCTTTTCCATTATTTCCAAATTTCTTTTAGTGGAACTAGAATCCACTTCAGACTTACGTGGAAATATATGCTCAAAAAATGAAGCATTTCTAGATTCAAGTATCGTATTCTTATGAATTTCCTCAGTTTTGGATTCATGTACAAGAAAACGATAAGCACTACTATTGTGTGCATATCCAATAAATATGCAATCAACAGTTTTTGGTCCAATCTTTATTTTCTTTGGCGTAGGTATTGCTACCTTTGCCAGACACCCCCACACTCGCAAGTATTTGTAGGATGGTGGTATTCCATGCCATAATTCATATGGACTTTTGTCTAACTTTTTACGGGAAACCTTATTTAAAAGGTAATTTGCTGACAACACAGCTTCTCCCCACATGTTCTGTGGAAGTCCAGAACTTAACAACATTGAATTCATCATTTCTTTTAAAGTACGATTTTTTCTCTCCGCAATCCCATTTTGTTGCGGTGAATAAGGTGCTGTTCATTTCATGTCTTATCCCATGTTGGGCACAGAATTCAGCAAAAGGTGACTCATATTCACCTCATCTGTCACTTCTTATCACCTTAATCTTTTTATTTAGCTGATTTTCAACTTCGTTTTTGTAGAGAATAAATTTCTCTATCGCTTCATCCTTACTTTTAAGAAGATACACACAACAAAATTTAGTGCTATCATCTATAAATGAATATTTATTTCCACCACGTGTCGTAACAGCTTTTAAATCACATACATCAGTGTGAATTAAATCAAGTGGTTCACTATTTCTTTCAATAGTTTGAAATGGTAATCGTGTCAATTTTGCTTCAACACAAGTTTCACACTTATGTTTTGAATCAATATGGAACATAGGTATGCTTTTCAATTTTATTAACCTGCGCAGGGTATTATAATTGACATGTCTCAGTCTACCATGCCACACAATGGAAGACTCAAGCATATAAACGGAAGAATTAACATTTTTATTAATTGTCATCACATTGAGCTTAAAAAGCCCATTACATTCATAACCCTTCCCTACAAATGCTCCATTTTTACTCAAAATGACCTTATCAGATTCAAACACTACACGAAAACCATGTTTGATCAACAAAGAACCAGACACTAGGTTCTTACGAATTTCTGGTACATAAAGAACATTATTAAGAGTCAATTCTTTTTCATATGTCATTTTCAGTACCACTTTCCCCACTTCTTTGATGTCAGATATGGCAGAATTTCTCATGAAAAGCTTTTCTCCATCCACAGTCTCGTCAAGGACATTAAACAATTCCTTGTTTTAGCAAACATGACGGGTAGCACCCGTGTCAATCCACCATTCATGTGGATTTGAGCCCACCAGATTCACCTCGGATATAACTGCAGCGAGGTGCATCTCATCAACATCTTTGGCCAGATTTTCTACCATGTGGGCTTCTTGATTTTTCTTTGGCAACCTAGAATCAGATGCCTTATGGCCAGATTTATTACAATTATAACAACTTGGCCCCATTATTGCTTTCCCATTATTGCCAGCTTTTTTCTTATTATTTTTGTTTGAGCTTTCGCCATGCTCAACAATATTAGCCTTGGCCAAATAAGGGTTAACCATTTTGTTGTCGTAGCCCTTGTTGTCTTCTTCAATTCGAAGTCTAACAACGATCTCTTCAACAGTCATCTCTTTTTTCTTATGCAATAAATAGTTTTTGAAATCTTTCCAGCTCGGTGGTAGCTTTGCAATTATGGCAGCCACCTGGAAAGTTTCATTTACAACCATTCCCTCGGAATGGATATCATGCAAGATTATTTGAAGCTCTTGCACTTGACTGATTACAGTCTTCGAGTCAACCATCTTGTAGTCCAGAAACCGACCTACAAGAAATTTCTTGGCTCCAGCATCTTCGGTTTTGTATTTTTTATCCAAAGATTCCCACAGTTCTTTCGCTGTTTTGATATAACTGTACACGTTGTACAGTGTATCAGCCAAGCAGTTCATCACATAATTTCTACACAAGAAATCCGAGTGATTCCATGCATCAAGCGAACTAACCGCTTGAATATCCAGATTTTCCCCCAACTTTGGTGGATTTTCCGTCAAGAACCTCGCAAGGTTCAACGTAGTGAGATAAAACAGCATCTTTTGCTGCCAGCGCTTGAAATTCAAGCCATTAATTTTTTCCGGTTTATCAGCATGATTTACCGGAACAGAAGGAGAAATAGAAATTGTAGTAGCACCACCGGTATTAGCAACGTCAATAGTATTTTGTTCAGCAACCATCTTTAATCGGAATCTGTTATAAGATTGTAGGGAACTTTAACGGGATAATAAAAATAAGATGGCTATAATATATAATACCGAGGCATGTGATAACACAGTGTCCTTAAAACAGATTTGCCCAGTATGAGCGTCTGTTTCCCAGGATACAACGGAAAAACCGAAACTAATCCGGCGAACTGGAATTATGCCTGAACCAAAACACTTAAAAGACATATGGGGGAATAAGACTTTGGAAATATTTTATTTGGTTTCGTGTGTTTCATCAAAAGAAGACAAGTCTTCTTATATAGGCTTAAGCAACCCACTTATATTAATACTTCATTTAATACCATTAATTCAAAATTTAATGAAGTTATGTTTGTAACATGAAAACAAGTTGTACTTTGTAAGTGAAAGACACGGTTTCAACAAATAAACTTTATGTTACAAATTCATTCAATAAATTTTCCAACATTATCCTGTTGGGATCTTGTAGTTGTTTTAGTTGTTTGTATTGTTGGTTGTTTAGTTGCGTCTGTTTTTTATTCTAGCGTTGCTAGCCAAGATTCTAGGCGGTCTTCTGACTTGTCCTCTCTTTTTTTTTTCAGCCGTTGGCTGTTGTGTATTCGCACATTTGTGTTTTTTGATTTATAATACTTCTATCGTTTCGAAAAAAAAAAGATAGATTTTTTTAAATAGAAGACATTCGAGTAATATTTTCTTTTGAAAAGGCCAAAGCATTAATTATGCAGTGGAGACCTTTTAGATGTGGCCTTAATATTCATTGTCAACAACCGGATTATTTTTGCCATACATAAAGGTTCAATCAGATAAAAGCGCGAAAACGTGCCAAACATTATGAATTGAAGATTCTGATATGTTATTCAACTTGCTGGAGTTGGGTGTTTTTCTCAACGATCTTGTTGCAGTGGTATGATCTTTTAAACAATTGAAACCTCATAGCAGATGTATATGTATATAGTGTGTTCTTTATGCATGTATTCCCTATTTTTTTCTGAAGTCTGAAGGTAAGTGCTTTTAAAAGGAGAAAACACTCTTCATAAATCTGTTTGTACCTTTTCGTCGTTTGGAGTCATAACCAAATAAATAATAAGTTTTTATTTTTAATTCGGTCCATCAACAAATAGAAAATCTCATAATTGTATCTACACCTTTAAATTCATAGCAATTTGATATTCTCTTTATTCAAAATCACAAATTTAGTAGATCAATTTCATTAAATTATATATTCTGACAACTATACATATTTAATTTACATATGTTGTCCATAAAACTTTATTAACGATTAAAAGTTCAAAAAATTAATTTAATATATTCTTTTGTTAATAAAACTGTAAGGTATGGTCAGAATCATTAAATATTTATTTATTGTAATATATTGTGTTGTTAGGACCAATCTTTTGTGTTTTTAGTACGTTGGGTGCGCAAATAGCATAAGATTGGTCTAATTCCATCTGGTACGAATTGTGTTTCTGTCTTGTGCAAATTTGTTGTTTAGGTTGTAGTTTTTGTGTATTGTATTTTTGTTTTGTAGGGACTATCGCTTATGATTGTAATGTTCATGTTAAGTTTGGTTTGTTGCCCAAGTTTTGTTGATTTTCAAGGTGCGGTGGTCAGGAAACCAACTATCACCTTTTGTTTGCTTGTAATTGAGCGAAATATGTTGGTCGGAGGAATTTTGTTCGCGACCTTTGGAGAGGAGATTTTATCCAACTATTTTTAGACCTCATGTCTGAGACCTGATGTGATGAAACTCTGCATTTTTGCCACTGGTTCATTTATAGCTCATGTGGTATGTCGTTGTTGTAAAAGGCTAAAGGTTAGGGGTGTGAAATAAGTGTGGGAATTCGGGTTGTCTTGGCTGAAAGAATTCGATAACGCTAGATCGGGTTTTTTAATTAATGGAATACGCCCAAGTTATAATTTTATTTCCCTCTAGAGGGATCAGAAAATTGCAATAATGGTTGGACACTTATTTCTGTTGCGATGGTTTAGGATTCAGAGATTAGGTTAGGCAGTTGGATTTGGGAATCCATAGAAGTATGAAAGATTGCTTTTGCCACACGTATGGCGAGTTCATTTTCCCCTCTTTTGGCGAAAGATTTGGCTATCCAACACGGGCCACGCATTGTAGTGGACTTGAGTCTCAATCTTCAAAAGACTTTAACAGACTCTATAGTTGTTGCCAGCGGGATATCCTACCAATATAATCTCGACCCACTGATTGGAATCTTTGATGTTATTAGAGCCCTCCTATTTCCCCTTAACTCGATGCGGTTATTTACCAAGTAAACAAAATGGGGTGTCCCACAACACAACAAAATGGGTTGTTGTTTAGCAATCACCTTATGTTTAGCGTGCTTATCTCCCTATTTTCCTTCCTTCTTTTTTCAATGTAGTAGCAAACTCGTCTTTCATCTTATTGTGTGATCTTAGATTATAAGCAAAGAAAAAAAAAGTTGTGTTGATGTAAGTTGACATCTGGATTTATAATTAGTCTCGTTTTCAAATTCAATATTAACTTTATCGTTCAAGGAAAAAAAATAACTAAACGAAACGCGGTAAGGTGGTTGTGACTGGGATTGCAGGTGGTTGGCTATCAGATCACGAGACTCTGACCCAAGCACTGGTAAGATGGAGGTTCTCGTAGAGCTTTCGGGCAATCTGGACAGCATCAAAAGAAGGGATCAACGATTTTTGGGTGCCTGTCACCACTCAAAAACCGTACCCTAGTCTAACGAGTTTTCCATTAAGTCAAAAACTTAACCCCATAGACGGAATTACGCAGACCGTGAATTTCTACAACGAATATATAGCATAACCACTCGGGTACTCAATCAAAAGTGAATGTTATTATCAGTAGAAAACAAATTTTACCTACTCCACAAGTGCTGCAATGCTGACTTGGATTCTTTCTCATGTCAATGTTTGAATGAAAGTTCAATAAAAGTTTGCTAGTCAACAACAGTAGATTCATTATCTTCCAAACAAAAAGACAAAACACTCCAATTTTTTTATAAATCAGCACATATCAACTACTTCAGTTTTCACACAAACATCAGTGCATGATCAGCAAGAACTTATGATAATCATGAAATCATTTGTTTTCATGCTATCAAAATTATTATTATTATCCTGCTTACCAAACAGTGGATTAGCCCATGTACTTCATCAATATTCTTACAAGAAGATTCCACTCCCAAGAATTGGTTCAGAGGCATATGCCTTTGATTCAAACAACAATGGGCCTTACACTGGTCTTAATGATGGAAGGATTGTCAAATATGAAGGCCCAAAAACTGGCTTTGTAGATTTTGCAATCACTGCTCCTAATAGGTAATTAATGAATAATCTTCTCTTGTTAACTACACAATTAACTGCAGAAAACCTTGATTATGTTGGTATATATAAACCCTTCTTTTTTTTGTGATTTTGTGATTTTCAGGTCTAAGGAGATGTGTGATGGGAAAAATATAGATGACCCGATAACCGGGCCGATGTGCGGGAGGCCCATCGGTCTCGAATTCAACCACGAGACAGGGGAACTTTATGTCGTTGATGCATTCCGGGGGCTGATGGTGGTTGGTCCGGGCGGCGGCCGGGCGGAAAGGGTAGCCGGAGGTGTCCCTTTTGATGCCCCGGATGCCTTAGCCATTAATCCGGTCACAGGAGAAGTTTATTTCACTGATATTGGGCCCATCTTCTTCAAAACCAAGTAAATAATACTATCATTTTATTTTATAGTAATGTTGTTCGTCTGTTTAACGATTACACAACCATACTTTTCTTTTTATATATATTTTATCAGCATATTCACATACTTTCATAGTACTGAAATTTCGACTATTCGTAAGCATGATACGACTCTTCTTGTACATGGAATTTCGATTGTTGTTCGTGTAACTAAGTGCGTGTGACTAGTGTTGTTAAATTAAACGAGTTTGACTCGACTCGTCTTGTTAAGACTCGGGTTCAGCTCAGCTCGTTTGATAAACGAGTCGAGCTCGAGCTCATTTAAAGCTCGTTTGGTTAACTAGTCGAGCTCGGATCGAAAAAAAATTTCATATAATTTTCTGTAGTTGGGTTCGCTAAAACTCGAGATCGGCTCGTTAAACTTCGAACTCAGCTCCTTAATAGTGATAAACGAGCTGAACTCTATTTCAGATTCTTTTATTTAACGAGCCGAGTTCGACTCGGCTCGTTTACATGCCTACGTGTGACAAAAACCTATGACGACCCTCAAATTTCGGCATAGATTAAATCTCCAAACTCATTAGATAAAATGTAAGTCTCAAAAGTTTCACATGAGTTAGCAAGTTACCACAAGAAAAAGAAAAAGCAACAATTTGAGACAAATCAAGATTTTTTGTAACTATATAGTGAAAGTTCAACAATACAATGTTACTAAATAAGACTAACTATTTTTTTTCTCCTTAGCAACATGACTGAAATACTCCTGAGTGGGGACAAAGGCGGCCGGCTACTAAAATACGACCCGAACACTAAACGCCAAACGGTGGTCCTAACCGGGCTAGCCGTGCCAAATGGGGTGGCCGTGAGCCGAGACGGCTCGTTTGTGCTAATCGCGGAATACATTGCCAGCAGAATAAGAATATTTTGGCTCAAGGGCCCAAATGCAAATACTTCAAACATCTTCGTACGACTTCCGGGCAACCCGGACAACATCAAGAGAACAGAATCGGGCGATTTTTGGGTGCCCGTGAACATACAAAAATTGCTGCCCGAGCTGATTTGTTTCCCTTTGGGGCAACGGATTAGCGAATTCGGGCAGATTTTGGAGACCGTGAATTTCTATGCAGAGTATAACGCGACGTACATTACTGAGGTCCAAGAACACTTGGGATCGTTGTACGTAGCATCGGTTTATACGGATTTTGTGAGTGTGTATAAGGGTTTGAGGTGTTAGGAAAAAAAAAATTAATAAAAATGAAATGTAAGTTTTAGAAAATAATTATTATTGAAATAATAATTATTTATTTTCTATGTTCATGATGACTGAGTGAATTGTTTGTGCTTATTACACAAAAAAGAAGGTCCACCATAAAATTATTTTCCAATTTTTCACCATTTATTTGTCTCTCAAAGGCTCAACATTTTTCTTGCCTTATATTTCTCAGCTTTGGACTTCCTTGTGGCCTCTGCCTATTTCCTCTGTTTTTGACCTTTTTTCAACACTATAAACTCCCTAACTTTTCTTCAATAATCCCTGTTTTCTCTACTAAGAAAAAAAAAAACTAAAAAAAAAGGCGAATCACTGATGGTTTTCTCTCGACAATTTACTCAGTGATTCGCTACCAAGCGAGACGACAACCACTAGACAAAAACACAAAAAGAGGACATATATATATTGTAAGAACATACGATGTCGCGTCTCACTAAGCTATCTTTGGTTTTCGCATGCATCGTCTTGCAAATGACCGTGTCGAATGCCAAAATCGCGGTCTTTGACGAGTACTTGCGGAGGCAAGCTAACGAATCGTACGCTGAGTCTTTGAAAGCATTCAATCCCCATCCAGAGGATCTAACCGATGAATTCAACGAGCTAGTTGGCGAGTACGAATATATATATATATTTTCTCTTTCCCCTTTTCCGTAGATCTTCTGTTATATTATATTAGATGAATGTCACGTGTATTTTCATAAAGTATCATCGTTATCGGACCTTGGAAAGTGAGACACTAAATAAATGTCACATTTGTCACAATTTCTTTTCCATGAGACAACCTAACCGTTAGACAATTATATTAGATGAATGCCACGTGTATTTCAGCAAAATGTCATCATTATAGGACCTTGGAAAGTGGAAACACTATATAAATGTCACATTTTTTTTCTTTTTTCTTTTTTTTTTTAATTGCGTGAGGCACACTGACCATTGGACAGATCGATCAGTTCATACTATTTCAACAAATATGCAGGTCAATCAGCCATACAATTTGAATAAAAAAGCATACTTATACTATTTGAATATACCATAGGACCTTGATAGGTGAAAACATCACGAGGCGGCAACTGAGAGGCAACGGCTGCAAGGCCACGAACCCCATCGATCGATGCTGGCGGTGCGACCCGAACTGGGCCAAGAATCGGAAAAAGCTCGCCGATTGCGCCCGTGGCTTCGGCCACGACACGCACGGCGGAAAGGACGGGCGGTACTACGTGGTCACCGACGCCTCGGACGACAGCGTGGACAACCCAAGGCCCGGGACCCTTCGCCACGCGGTCATTCAGAAGGAGCCCCTATGGATCGTCTTCTCCCACAGCATGGTGATCAAGCTTCAACAAGAGCTGATAATGACGAGCCACAAGACAATCGACGGGCGAGGCGTACAAGTACGCATCGCTTACGGTGCAGGCATCACGATTCAATTTGTCAAGAACATCATCATCCACAACATATGGATACACAACATCGTGAAGGCCTCAGGTGGCATGATTCGGGACTCGGTCGACCACTTGGGGCTACGGACGCAGAGCGATGGGGACGCCGTCAGCATATATGGGTCGAGCCGCGTGTGGATCGACCATGTGTCGCTCTCCAAGGGGGTCGACGGGCTAATCGACATCATCGAAGGATCCACTGCCATCACTATCTCAAATTGCAAGTTCAACCACCACAACGACGTACGTCTACTCACCACAAATACAAGAAAACAATAAAATTCCAACAAAAATATTTTCTGATAGAATTTCAACAGTCACTCCAATGGATACTCCAATTTTATTATATTTGTTGGAATTTGGAACGGATTCTAAGAAAAATGTTCTATTGGAATAAGTTTTCATTGAAATTTCTGTTAAATTTTGGTAATTCAAACAATGGTAGGTGAAAAAAAAAATCAACAAAAATTGCATATTCCAATGCAATTTTTTAGTTCCAACAATAAACAATTAGAAAATTTGTCCATGCAATCATCAGATTCCAACTACAATTCTAAAGAAAACTTAATCCAATTGAAGCTATTTGGAAATTTCATTGGAATATTTTACTGTTGGAAAATGGTAATTCTTTTGTAGTGTCCCAAAAATTATCCCATGACACTGACTTACGAATCGAACGATTGTGGTTGACGACGATGCAGGTGATGCTGTTGGGGGCACACGACACTGACTCCAAGGACTCGATCATGCAAGTGACGATCGCGTTCAACAGGTTCGGAATAGGGTGCATACAGAGGATGCCACGTGTCAGGTGGGGATACGCCCACGTCGTCAACAACGACTACTCCCATTGGGAGTTATACGCAATTGGAGGTAGCGCGCACCCAACAATCATCAGCCAAGGTAACCGATTCAAGGCTGCCGATTACCAATACACCAAAGAGGTAAAAAAAAAAAAAGCAACGAATGTACTATCATAAAATCAACCACCCGTAAATCGGGTTTTTTTTTTATCTCTCTTTCTTTAGTAAGTTTGCGAATTTACGGATCAGGTGACCAAGAGAGATTATGCGACACCCGAGGAATGGAAGAAGTGGCAATGGCGGTCGGAAGGGGACTTGTTCACAAACGGGGCCTTCTTTACCGAGTCGGGCCCACCACTCGAACACAAAAAAAGCCCGTTGGCAGGGCAGAATTTGATCAAGTTCAAGCCAGGATCATATGTGGGAAGGCTCACACGAGCTGCCGGGGCCATCAAGTGCAGCGTGAAAAGCTTCTGTTAATCGAATTTCGGGTTTTTTCCGCAAAATTTACGCAACTTTGTTTTTTTTCTTCATTTTTTATTTTTTATTTTTTTCTGCTTGGATTGGTTAAGCTTAAGAGGAGAACAAGTAAAACAGAGGTGTGGAAACTGGAAAGTGAAGACAATTAAATCTCCTCATGTGATGAATTATGATTATTGATTAATTAACAATAATAAGTCAAAATTGTTTTCTTCTATCTTTAATTTGTTTGTATTATTATGTATATGCATGTAATATTTTGTGCGGGATATCATTTTTCTGGGCAGTAATATATATAGGGAAATGCTACGGTCTCATTAGAGAACCATCCCGTCGGATTTGTAACCGTTAGATCATCATTTAACCGTCGCAGATAGTTGATCTAACGATTACAAATTTCGACGGAATAGTTCCATAACGAGACCATAGCATCTCCTATATATATAATCAGAATTGAGTTATAATCAACATGCTACAGTACGCATAGGAAAATCTATATTACTATATATTGCTACAGTACTCTGTTTTTTCTTTTAACATTCGTTTTACTCAAATTGAAAACTTGCCAAAATGCCAATCTTGGCTGATCTCATCGGGGACGAGGATTCACTATTTTACGTTATCGCGACACAAAAGTCCCTCGGAAAACTTCCTTCTTTTCCAGCCACCGAGCCGTGAAAATCAACCTCAAGCTTTCAGGCAAGTATCGATCGTGCTATTTCGCCAAGCACCGGTATTCCGGCGAACAACGCCTTCTCGAAAGGGAGGAGCATCCGCTCCCCGAGGCTTCGATCGTCATCCCTCTCGACCTTTTGGACTCGACAAACGAAAAAGCCCAAGAGCCTTCGAACGCGGGCTGGCCCGGCCCGACCTTAAAGCACGAACAGTTGATCCGGTCCGCGTTGAAAAAGGCCCAGTTCGAATCTTTCGGGCTGTTGAGGAGCCGGCCTAGATCGGTTGACCTTTACTTTCGAGTCAACGTGAGTCGAAACGTGCTCATTTCTTACGGCGACCGGTGGAATTCCGAGGGTGATGATGTCGAGGAAGAGGGTCATGATGATGTCATCATGGTTCGCGCTTCGGAATCGTCGATCGGGAGATTGAAGGAGTTGGTGGTGTCGGAGGATGGGCCGGGATGCTCGATTTGCATGGAGGACATTTTTTGCGGGTCCCGCGGCTCGGTTATGCCGTGCCGCCATGTGTTTCACCGGGATTGGACCGAGAGGTGGCTCCGGACGAGCCATTATTGTCGGTTTGCCGGTTTGAGATGCCGACATATTAGGTTTTTCAGGTTTTAAGGTTTCTTAGTTAATTTTTTTATCTGAGATACACTGATATCCCGTCATATATTGTACGTTTAAAATCTCAATCCTAGTTAAGCTATATTGTTTTCATTAAACTCTCAAAACAAAGAAGATCATATCAAATAAAGAAGAAACAAAAATGAATAAATGACACCATGAAAATCAATTCACATTGCTCTCCACACCAAAGCTTACAATTTTTTTTTTTTCTTTTGCTTCTCTTTTTTTTTTCTCTTCTTTTCCTAGAGATTGTTCTATCTGTACAAAAGAATGGCTTACATAGCCAAGAACTTTATGGAACAATGGAGGGCCATATCCAAGTTCCATTAAACACAAACAAAATAGTAACAGCAATCGATTTTCACACGCATCACCTCGAATGCTCTCCGTAGCACCCTCAGTTGAAAAAAAAAAGGGTGAAAAAAGGGTTCGTCTTTCTCCTCTTTTATAACTGCCAAAAAACCGACATCGAAAAAATTCATACTCGAAAAAGCCAATCACAGACAATGTAGAAGGGACCTCTTGCAAGATGACGTTTGTTGTGAAGAATTTCGTATTGGGCTCTGAGAATTCGAGTCCACTCCTAAAGTCTTCATCAGAAAATGTTTTTCCTGAAGAGTGAAATTTAAAAATTTAATTTTTTTAGCGTGCAAAGCATGAAACAAAAAGCATTCGAGTTTGTGTTTCATAATAATACAGTTAGAAGTTAGAACCTCTTGTGAACATGCACGCATATTGACGATTGATTAACTCGTGATCGTATATTATTCAAGGTTTTTTCTTTGGCAGAAAAATTGAATGGCAGATATAAAAAGTCGTGAAAAAAAGACTTACGCTTTCTGAGAATTTTGGGCTGGGAATTGCGGCTGCCAATGCTCGGAAAAAAGGTGTCACGCGAACAGGGGAATTGAATTCTGTAAAAGAAATAACCCATTCGAGTTGAAAATTAAAGAAAAATCCTACTATGCTTGAAAATTTAAATAACCCATTTGAAAGTTTCTTGTAAAATATAAACACGCTTTATCCATAAATTTTTTCCTATACTTATACCTTCATTTTGGGGTTTTGCCGAACGAAATACCCCATTTTCTTCATCAAGAAAATTATTGTCATTTGCTTGACCCGATTGAAGTTCATGCTCGGTTTCTTGATGATCACACGCCACATTACACAGAAAAATTGATTCGGAACTGTGTTCAGAGCTAGCTGGGGAAGAATCATATGCATCACGATCCCTGCATCAATTTTCCCGGTTAAATTACAATTTTTCTATTATAAAAAAACCAATGTACTTTGTAAAAATTTAAATTTACCTCCAAGATGATACACTTCCTTCATTAGGGCTTCTTAATTCTTCTTCAACTAACTCTTTCAACTTCTCTATCCGAAAATCGGCATCTGAATTCTTGATTATCGGTGTATCACTTTCTTTGTTTTGTTTCAAGAAATTTTGGAGAACCTGGACAATTTTCATCATTTCATTACTATTAATATGCCAATCATTATTTTGATTTATAAAATGGTTCAAAAATCCAAAGACATGGTTCCCTTTTGTAATTTCATAAAACTTCTCGGCTTTTACTGTAATCATCCTAAAGATCAGGGATAGTTCTCATAATTATCCCTTATTGTATATTGTTTACATATACAGAACTTGTCCAATGTTATGAACAAGGAACAAATATAAAGTGCTCATCCGTAATTTTAAAAAGATACGTGGACGCTTTTGCAATTAGACTAAGTTTGTTTACTTACAGCCCAGGCATTTTCAAGACTTTGATCCGTTTTCTCTGTATTCACTTTGACGGCAAGTGAGCTAAGAAGCTCTGCTTGCTGAATCAATGCAAGCACCTTTGGATCGTCCTTTTTAAGAAATGTTCGTTCACCTTTGTTATTTACAGCTGCATTTAAGAAGAAAAATGAAAATAAATAAGTAAAGAATGATCTCACTTCTATTCACTTTGATCATTTGAAGTGACATTTTAAGTATAAAAGGTTTACTAATACTCACTTTCATCAGTCGACGCCTCTTTCATTTTATCGATTTGTGTCTCGATTGGGAGGTCAGCCGAAGAACAGTTGACCTTTTGAGTTAGCATTTGAAACGAATGTCTGAGCAAATGACTCGAGAGGCCACGCTCGCCACTCGATCCATCTAGTCTGTGATTTTCGATGGTATTTAAGATATAAGTCATCTTCCATGAATATTTTACACACATAGGAGCAATTTATTAGAAAATAAGTAAAATATCCAATATTTATTGATTTTGAAAGATTGTACCGAGGTCTTTTAATAGCTGAAGCACTTTCAGATTCTCCATCAGCATTGTTGAGCCCATCAGGAAAAATAACCCTTTTGTTGTTTAAGTTGATGTAAGAAGAAGTCATGCTGTTTACTTTCGATAAGGCTTCACGTTTTGCCCTTTTCTTGCAAAGAGTCGTGAATCGGTTCTTCACGGCATTATCAGTTCTAATCAAACAACAAAAATAAAAACAAAAATAAAACAAACAAAAAGGAATAAAGAAAGGCAAATCCCTTTCTTAAACTATAACAAGCAACAGAGAAAAAAAAAAAAAA